TTTGATTCTTATATGGATCACTTAGCTTCTTGCTATTCCCTGGTCCTATTTGGGCTCCAACCATGACCACATGTTGTCTGCTTGTTGGCATTTGGTCTCACACAGGACAGGTGAAATAGGGTGAATTGCTCACGCAAATTTATCACCCCTTCAAAACAAAAAAAAAAGAAAGAAAGAATATCGCTCCCCACACACACATATCGGTTTTGTTGGTGAATTCAGCAACTATTTTTAGAGAGCAATTGACCTGAGAAAATTTAAAAATTTCTATTATGTACTGGAATTTGGCCCTTGTTTACTTAAACATTATTCAATCTAAGTGTAAAACACACTGCTAGGGCCCTTTAAAATTCTTTCTGTTGGATTTTTTAATTCAACTATAAAGACAATTCAAGTGAGAAACTTCAGTGCATTGATTTTGTTCTTTGAGTCATTGCACTGTAATTAGCTGAGTTGCGTTTTAAATGCAGCACAAGAACATCTTTCTTGTCTGTTTATGTCAGGAAAAAATGGCTAATGAGCACTTATCAAAAAGATGAGCATTTTTTCATTAGATTAAGTAAAATCAAAACAGATTTATAATGTACTATTATGTTTCAGCTTGGAATAAATTGAGCAAAATAGCTAATATCTTCACAGCTTACTGAGAATTTATTTGCATGGCAGGAGCCTCCTCCCCCACACATAGGCTTCAGGAGAGTGCCTGTTTGTGGCGACTTTCTTTGTGGAGTCAGGGCACATTCCCAAGCGTTGGGAAAGCTCACAGTGGTCAGTGAAAATGCCACCTGGTGCTCAGTATCACACAGAGCTTGCTTTTGTTTTGAGATTTTTTGTATGCGTTCCAGTGGGTGTTTACCAAAAGGTACAGATGATGAAGGTTGATTCCTTAGGAAGATTTAATGTATACGTTTAAGAACTTTCTCCTTTTAAATGTCATTTAGATGGCAGGTTATTTTCAGGTCCTCAAAGATCCTAAGTCACTGCTTGTGCTTCTACTATGTGAGGATTGAGTCCGTCTTTATCAGTTCTTGCTTGGGGCTATATAAATCTGTGGACATCCGCAAAGCAACCAATATAACAAGCCCTTATGTTGATAAAGAAGAATCTTCACTTCGTCAGGTTTTCTGAGTTTGGATAAGATATAAATTTCCTGAATAAGAGAGAGAGAGAGAGAGATATTAAAATAAACTGCTCTGGACACTACACATTTAACTTATTGCACACTTTTGGGAAAACATTTTAATTGAAGTATAATGCATTCATAAAAGGAAAAGCCTGATGAATTTCTACAAAGTGACATACCCCTGTAAACACCATCTAGACCAGTGGTTCTCAACCTTCCTAATGCCAGGACCCTTTAATACAGTTCCTCGTGTTGTGTGTGGGCGTATCTGCATGTGGGCGGACCCGCCTGGAGACGTATAAAGGAGCGGGGTCTCGGTTCCTAAGACCATCGGAAATATGTGTTTTCCGATGGTCTTAGGCGACCCACCCCTGTGAAAGGGTCGTTCGACCCCCAAAGGGGTCGCGACACACAGGTTGAGAACCGCTGCTCTAGACCATGGTGTAGAACATCACTAACACTAAGGAACTTGGTGCTGCTACCCAGTCAGTATCCCCTACCCAGACTAAGTCATTCTGATTTTTATCACAGATTACTTCCGATGTTTTGGAACTTTATATAAATGAGATGATACGTCAGGTACTCTTTTTATTGTTGTTGTTGTTAATCTTCACTCAAGGATGTATATTTTTTTCCATTGATATTTAGAGACTGGAAGGAAGGGAGGGAGAGAGAGAGAGATCGACTGGTTGCCTCCCCCATGACCCCGACCAGGGCCAGGGACAAACCACAGCCAAGGTATGCGGGCCGACACTCTAACTGAGCCAAACCGGCCAGGGCAATTCTATGCATTTTTAAACCCACAAGATATTAATATTATTGTTTTACGCAGTCAATATTAAATTAAATTTGCCCACTTATCTACTCTTTCCATTGTTCTTCATTCTTTTTTGCATTGTTATTCTTTTATTGAGGATCCCCTTTCTCCCGTCTGAAGAGTGCCCTTCAGCATTTCTTATTTTAATCCTCACCCGAAGACATTTTTACATTTATCTTTAGATAGAGCGGGAAGGAGAGAGGGAGGAAGAGAGAGAGAGAGAGAGACATAGACTGGCTGCCACCCACACGACCCCAAAAGGGGCTGGGGACAAACTGCAACCAAGGTACGTGCCCTTAGCGGGAACCGAACCTGGAACTCTCTGGTCCGTGGGCTGATGCTCTAACTGCTGAGCCAAACCGGCCAGGGCCTTCAGCATTTCTTTTAATGCAGTTCAGTTTGGCATGAATTATCTCATTTTGTGTTAAAACGACCATTTATTTTGCTTTCATTTTTTGAAGGCTATTTTCTTTGGGTGTAGAATTCTAGCTCTGCAGTTATTTACTTTAAGAACTTTAAAGGTGCCAGTCTTTTGTCTTCTGTCTTGTATTTCCACTGAATAAGTCAGCTGATTGTTGTTGTGAAGGTAAAGTTTTCTTATCCTTTGTTTCATTTAAGATTTTCTTTGTTTTTGTCTTTTTTCAGCAGTTCTGTTATGTTTGATTTTATTTAATTTATCTAGCTTGGATTCATAATGATTCTTGAATTTGTGGCTTCATGTCTTTCAATTTGGGGAAATTTTCTGTCAGTATCTCTTCAAATATTGCTTCTTAACCATTGTCTCCCTTCTGCCTGTCTAGAATTTTAATTACAATAATTGTGTTACATTTTTTAAAAAGTGGTGTCCTACATAACACTTACATTTTGAATTTTAAATCCTTTTACCTCTTTGTGCCTCAATCTGAATATTTAGACTGACCTATCTTCTAGTTAATTCTCTCTTCTGCTGTGAGTAATCTGTCATTTAACCTATCCATTGAAGTCATGATACAATGATTATATTTCATAGATTTCAGTGCTTGGGCAAAATTGTCCAATTTTTATCAGTTTTTTTTTTTTTTCTTTTTTTTTTTTAAAGCATGTTAATGACAGCTTTTGGGGTAAACTTTAAATTATTTATAATTTCAAATTTATAGAATTCTTGTGGGAATAATAGACTGCATTACTGTATATCTTCTACCTAGATTCACCAGTTGTTTACATTTTTCTTCATTTGTTTTATCATCCTCCCCTTCATGCACATACCCTCTTACCACATACATGATTTCTTTCTGAAGCGCTTGATAGGATGTTGCAGATGTCATGCCTCTTTTTTCCTAAATACTTTGGTTTTGTTTTTACTAAAAACAAGGAATTTTTTTTTTTTTTTATCCTCACCCGAGGACATTTTTTTTGTAGGGAGTGGGAGGGAGAGAGAGGAAGAGAGAGAGAAAAAGAGAAACATGGACATGAAAGGGACACATTGAGTGGCTGCCACTCGCACAACCCAACCAGGGGACAAACTGCAACCAAGGTACATGCCCTTAGCGGGAACCAAACCCAGGTCTCTCTGGACCACAGGCCAACACTCTAAACGTTGAGCCAAACTGGCCAGGGCAGGAATTTCTTTTATGTAATCACAGGACAACTATCAAAATTAGGAATTTTAATATTGATAAAATACTACTATCTTATCTAAATTCTAAATTCAAATTTTATTCATAATTGTATAGAATTCCCTTACAGCTACATTTTTTCCCAGTCCAGTATGTAATAATCTAGGATCATACATTACATTTAGTTGTCATGCCTATTCAGTCTCCTTTAATCAAACAGTTCTTTTGCCTTTGTCTTTCATGAGCTTGATTTTTTCCAAGAATGCTGAACAATTACTTTGTCGAATGTGCTACAATTCTGATTTGTCTGATGTTTCATTATGATTAGATTCAAATAATGCATTGTTGGTAGGAATCACACAGAAGTGATTTTATGTCCTTCTCAGTCCATCATATCAGGAGACACATATTCATTTGATTCATTATTGGTGACACTAACTTTGAGAACTTAGGTCAGTAGATGTCTGCCAGTGTGAGCTACCACAAAGTTACTAGTATTATTCATTTGTAATGAATAAATTATTTGTGGGGAAATACTTTGAGACAACGTAACGTTCCTTATCAAACTTGTACCTAGTATATTTTAGCATCCATTGATGATCCTTTACTGAATCAATCATTTCTATGATGTTTGCAAAATGATTGTTTTTTAAATCTGTCATCCTTTCTATGTTTACTACTTGGCATACTTACTGTAAGGAATAACTTTTCCTTTACTCCCATTTGTTAATTTAGTAAACTTGGCGGTTCTTGTTCAATTCAATAAGTTATAATCCAATGAGCTCATTTTTTATTTTGAGGTTCAAATGTTCCAGATTTGGCCATTGGGAGCCCACTCAAGGGATCCCATGAACTTTCGCCATGCCCATCATTCTTCGACTATTTCGTAACCTTCCAGCATGACATGTTCCAGGGTCATCTTTCACTTTACCTGCTCCAGTGTTGCAATCAGTCATTTCTTCAAGGAGCCCTGGTTCCATTTTGTGTGGAATGGTATTTAGAAAATAAGATCTGGACACTACATGCACTTATCTTGCTACTGGAGCGCCGCTGGCTCAAAGGGGCAAAGAGAAACAGGGTTCTCTCTGTCACTGTCCCCAATTTAGGAATCCATACTGGACTCCCCAGTCTTAGCTAACATTAGAAGATTCATTTTGATCTTTCTGTTTTCTATATTTACAAGTCCTTTCTGCAAGTGAGCAATCTGGCTAGCATTATTGTCAGTGTATTTACTGATTTGCCCAGGCTTAGATTCACAGAGGGCAGTTTTGAATTGCTAACCCAACCGCTGTAGAAAACATACCTACTAACCAGTGTTTAATATTTGTTAGAAGATTTTTGTCTTTGAGGGTATATAGTCAAAACCCTGTATTCAAAAGTAGTTCTTTTTTCCCCTTTTGTGTAATTATGTTATTCATTTGAAATATAGTTAGGCTTATTTCATTCTGTTTATATTCCATTTCAGGGTTTTCCCCTTCATCTTTGTTAATTTATCATCATCATCATCATCATCATCATCATCATCACTATCGTCTTGGGTGAGTATATAAAACATTAAGCCTCCAAAACCCATAATTACACAAAAAGCTATATTCAGAGAAGTGGTACTTCCTCTACTCCACCCTATCTCCTTGTTAATGTACCCTCATTAGTTTCTGGTTCAACTTTTCTGAATGGCTTTTTGTAAGTATAAATGCCTTTATATTATCTTATTTCCTCTTCTTTCTTACACAGAAGTAGCATACTATATATAGTCTTTTGCACTTTGCTTTTTTTGGTTGACAATAGAGATATCCCAGAAATCACTCCATATCACATATTCTTTAGTTTTTATTTACAGCTGCGTAGTATACCATTGTGTGACTATATCATAGTTTATTCAACCAATCTCCTATGTAAGTTCCCCCCACAATATTTTTCAATTACAAACAGTGATGTACCTTGTTCATATGTATTTTTATACTTGTGAAGGTGTATCATCAAGGTAATTTTAGATGTTGGCAAAAGGTAAACTCACTTGTGGTTTTGTTAGATACTGTCAAATTCTCCCCCCACAAGATGGGACATTCCCACTAGCAATGTAGGGGAGTGTCTTTTTCCTCATGGTTTTGTCCAGAGACTGTGCTGTCAAGCTTTGTAATTTTTACCAAATCTAATCATTGGGGAATGGTATCTCAGCATAGCTATAATTTGCATTTTTATTATTAGGACTGAAGTTGTCCATCTTTTCATTTGTGTAAAGGTCATTTTAAAACCTGTTTATGAATTGTATGTGACTTTTGTTTATTTTTATTGTTTTTCTTAATCTTCCCTCTCCAAATTTTAGAGTTCTTTATGGGGTGGATAGTCACCCTTTATCTTTGATGTCTGTTAATCATAGTTATTTTAAAATTAGTGTGAGTCTGTGGGACTCTTTTATTACCTTTAAAGAGAATCTTCTGGGTTTGGGTCATTTGTCCTTCTTTCCTAACGGGCCTGGTAGTTCTTGAGTGAATGTCATACTTCGCGTGTACTAGTTGTGGAGACTCTGGGCGGTGGCGTTTCCCTGCAGAGATGATTTAGGTTTTTACTGGCTACCAGATGAAGTTTGGGTAGATACCCTTGACCAAGGCTGGTCAATTTAGGGTTTGCCCTCACTCTAAGGAAGTGGAGTGTTTGGGGTAGAAACCAAAAGCCTGGGGCCTTTACCTTCCTCCTTGGCAGGCCTCAGCACCCCGGATTCTGAGCCTGTGGCAGCTGCTTTCTGCTGGTTTCTCTGTGTTATCGGAGCACGTGCAGTTTAGGAGTCAGCAGATGCCTTGAGGGGGATGTGCACACCAACGCTCACTTCGCTGCAGATCGTCTTCTCCACGATGCTGGCCTTTCCATTTTTGTTAGCTGTCCCAACACAGCAAGACCACTGCAAGCTCTAGGTTGCTGTTATCTCTTCAGCCTTTATTCCCCACACAGGGAGTTGGCAGATAACCCTGATGAGAAACAGCAGTAGCAAGTGCAAGGCTCGCTTTAGTGTGTTACCCTGTCCCCAGGGTTGCAGCCTATAAAGTCCTGCCGCCTTGATTATTCCTCATACTTTCAGAGGGCTCTTCTTTTACATTTTATCTAGCTTTTATAGTTGTCCTCAAACAGAAGGGTTATTCTGATACTAGTTATTCCATCATAGCTGGTAGCAGTGGTCATCTTTGCACTTAGCACATTTCATTAAATTTGTATGGAAATGAGAAAACACAGTCAAATTGACACAGCATTCTAAAACTGACAAGGAAATTGGCCACTACTGGGGAGGGTATAAATTGGTACCACCAATCTGGAGGGCATTAATTTATATCAAAATCCCTAATAATTTACTTGCCCTTTGACCCAGCAATTCTGTTTCTAGCTATTTATTATAAGAAAATAATCACGGGTGTGTGTGAGGGTTTATTTACAAAAATTTCAGTCTCAGTCAACAAAATTGGAATCAAAATCCTAAATATGCAATGACAGGATTTTATAAATTACAATGGGATATAATGGAATTCAGAATTGCAAATGATATAGGAGAGTATTTAAACATATTAATAATCTGTTGTTAAGCACAAAAGATTATAAAACAACATGTATTGCATGGTCCAGTTTAAGAATATTTTTAAAGATACATAAATATAAGACCAAAATAATGCACAAGGGAGTGTTAACGGCTAGTATTGCTGGGTTGTTGTTTCTTTTTTCCCTTTGTTTATGCATATTTTAAAATTCCATAGGGCATTAATTTTATTCTAAAAGAAAAGTAATATGCTTAAACAACAACAACAGTCGTGTCTGGCTGGTGTGGTGTGGCTCCATTGGTTGAGCATCATGCCGCGCACCAAGAGGTTGAGGCTCGATTCCCCATTGGGGCACATGCCCAGCTTGCAGGCTTGATCCCCTGTAGGGGGCGTGCAGGAGTCAGCAACAAAAAATACCAAAAAAACAAAAAACAGTTGATTGGGCCATTGATGATGTTTTCTGGCAAACATTTTATTTTTGTTTTGACCTCTTGTGTTCTATCTTTATGTGCTTAGTAGTGTTACAGATTTTGTCAGAATCAATACTCTCTTTGAAAATACTTTGTGGAACAGAAGACTCCATAGAAATGCTTTAAATTCCCACTAGTCGAATTCAAACAAAGGCTTCACTGGTTTCTATCAGTGTGTGCTAAAGCCTTTTTAGTAAGAAGTCCTTTAAAAAGTAAATAGGTTTAGCCCTGGCCAGGTAGCTCAGTTCGTTACAGTGTTGTCCCGATACACCAAGGTTGTGGGTTCGATCCCTGGTCAGGACACATACAAGAATCAACCAATGAATCCATAAACAAGTGGAATAACAAATCTCTCTCTCTCTCAAATCAATTTTAAAAAAGGTAAATAGGTTTGTGACAAGGACCCGGATTATCAGGGAAGATTTATTTCTTATAAAAAAATATATAATTTCCTTTTGAAGCCAATGGCCAAAATTTAATGCAATTGCTTTGGTAAAACTAAATCAAGATTCCTGAAGACCATTTTTGTCCTATGTTGCTCTTTCATTTGTAGGTGCCCTTCAAGGCAGCAGTCACCAGCTATGATCTCTTGGGTTTCGAGGATGCTTCCTAGGAATGTTCGTTCCTTGGCTACATCATCAGAGAACCCGCGAGCTGAGGACTGTCATCGTCACCATGAGGCCTATGGATACTTCTTGCCAATCCAGACAAGGTGGCAGGACAATGACCAGTATGGCCACGTGAACAATGCTGTGTACTACAGCTACTTCGACACTATCATCAACCACTACCTGATCAGGTAGGCGTGGGTTCTGCAGCCCCACACCCTCACGTCAACCCTCTGGCATGCCCTCGGCTGGGGGTTCACGCAGCGCATTCTTGGAGGAGATTCCCACATTTTCCTCTGTGGGACACCTCTTTTGTTGAGCCACTGAAAGTCAGATTATTCCAGAGGAAAATAGAAGGGGGACGTGTGGGTGGGCAAAGTGTCGCCCTGCTGCTCCTGCAGTCTCAGGTGTTACTGTATCTTGGTCCTTCGAACTAAACTGTCAGCAAATGTGCAGGCTCTGAATCTCAGGTAAGTACCCACACAACAAACCATGTAATATTCAGACCCTGGGCAACTTGAGCGGACATAAGATCAGCCCTCAAGACCATTTTGTGAGAAACGCAGCTGTATTTGACTAATATAATTCTATGTGTGAAAGGTTGTGTTGTACAGACACATCTGTGTAAATCCTAGCTTTGTCTTGCGTGAGCTATGCGATTTTGATCAAATTATATAGCCATCTTGAGTCTTCAATAAAGACAACTCACATTTAGTAAGAGCTTTCTCTGTGTCTAGCACTGTGAAGCATTTTACACAGCTTTTCTTATTTAATCCCAAGGCAACTCGATGAGAGAGCCGCAGATCGTCAGTGCCCCGCCTGTATGTACCCTGTGGGGCACGTTGGCCTGACTGTCATCTTTAGCACCAACATTTATTTGCCTAAGAACTATCTTGGGCCACCAGAGCTCCTTTTGCAGCCAGGCCAGAAGTGCAAGGACTTAATGCCTCCTAGAAGCAACCTGACTGGTGGGAGTTGGTATATAAATACCCCAGCTTCCTCGCCTCTTGAATATCTGATTACTTTACACAGATTCCCACGCTTCCCTTGTGGGATTAAGCTCTAGTTCCCAGATTGGTACCTTTTTTAAAAACAAAAAAATTGAGATAAAATTTACGTAACACAAAATGTACTACTTTAACTATTTTGAAGTATACAAAGTCAGTGGCTTTTAGTATATTCACAATATTGTGCAACCATCACTGCTATCTAATTCTAGAACATTCCTGTCACCCCCCAAAAAAGGAAACCCCATACTTCTTAGCAGTCATTCTCAATTTCCCTTTCCTCTCATCCCATGGAAACCATGAATCTACTTACTGTCTGTATAGATTGGCCAATTCTTGACACTTCATGTACATGTAATCATACAATATGTGGTTTTCTGTGTCTGGCTTTTTTCACTTAGTATAGTGTTTTCGAGATTGATCTATATTGTTTCATGTGTTGATACTTTGTTCCTTTATATGGCTGGATGATAGTCTATTATATGGATATACCAACTTTGTTTATTCGTCAGTTGATGGATATTTGGGTTGTTTCCTCTGTTTTGGCTATCATGAATAGTGCTGCCATGAATATTTGTGTACAAGTTTTTGTATGAACATGTTTTCAGTTCTTTTGGACATATACCTAGAATTGAACTGCTGGGTCATATGGTAACTCTGTATGTAACTGGCTGAGGAACATCAAACTGTTTACCACAGAGGCTGTGCTGTTTATATTCCCACCAGCAATGTATAGTGTATGAGGGTGTTTTTCCAAAGCCTCACCAACATTTGTTATTACCTTTTGATTACAGCCATCCTGGAGTGTGTGAAGTGGTATCTCATTTTGGTTTTGATGACGACTAATGATGTGTCAAACATCTTTCTATGAGTTTGGTGGCCTTTAATATATCATGTTTGGAAAAATATTTAATCAGATTATTTCCCCATTGTTTTTCATTTAGGTTATTTGTATTTTTGGGGGGCTGGGTTGTAAGAGTTCTTTATATATTCTGGGTACTAGATCCTTATACATATGATTTACAAATATTTTCTGCCATTCTGTGCCTTTTTTTTTTTTTTTCACAAAAGTTAACTAAAAATTTTTTTACTCAGTTTTTTTTTAGAGAGAGAGAAAGGGAGAGGGAGAGAGAGAGAAACATTGATCACTGTCTCCTGCATGTCTCCTACCTGGGACTGAGCCTGCAACCTGGGTGTGTGCCCTGACAGAGAATCAGACTACAACCTTTCAGTGCATGGGACGATGCTCCAACCAACTGAGCCACACTGGCCAGAACTAAAGTTTTTAATTTTGATGACAGAAGGGCAACTTTATTATTTTTTTAATCCCAAGGATATTTTTCCATTTATCTCAGATAGATTGGGGGACAGAGAAAGGGGGAGAGAGAAAGAGAGAGAGAGAGGGAAACATCGACATGAGAGGGACACATCGACTGATTGCCTCCCATGTGTCCCAGACCAGAGCCGGGGACAAACTGCAACTGAGGTATGTGCCCCTGGCTGGAATCGAACCCGAGACCCATTGGTCAGTGGGCTGACTCTCTACCATTGAGTTTGAATCTCCACCAAACCGGCCAGGGCCAGTGGGGCAACTTTTTAAGTAGGAAATGCTTCTTTATTGGCTACTTTCCTTTGTTGTCCCTAACTCACTTCTACAGGAGTGCAAAATCTATGAAAAATACTTTAGAGTTCTCCATCATGTAGCAGAATTGCTGTGTCAGGAACATAAACTTTTTTCAAAAGGATATGTATAGAACAACTTTCACTTTGAGCGTGGCTGTTTCTTCCTTGGGTGATATGCGTTCCTGAATCTCCACACTAATTTTAATTTGTGTGCACCTGTTGCTAATTCCTCTAGAAGTAGCTTGCAGTTGCTTACCTATGAATAACAAGCTGTCTTTTTCATCACTCATTTTAGCTTTTAGGAGAAAGAGTGTTTTATACCTTGACATCCACAGGAAGAAGTAAACACAGTACTTGAGGCGCCTTGTAATTTCACATCGTTTGTCCCATAGGGAAACTTAACAGTGAATTTTCCAGCTTGCTCCAGGGCTACCCATTCTTTTTTAGGAAGGAGTCTTGTAACATCTTTGGATTGACTCTTAAGAATCATTTCAGTGTGGTTGGGACCTAGTGGTAGATCTTAGTCTGTTCAGGCTGCTATAACAGAATATCATAGACTGGGTTGCTTAAACAACAGAAGCTTATTTCTCGTAGTTCTGCAGTCTGGGAAGTCTGGATTGGAGTAGCAGCAGGGTTCAGTTGTGGTGCGGGCCCTCTTCCCTGTTTGCAGACAACCGCCTTCTTGCTATATCCTCACAGAGCCGAGAGAACAGGCTCTAGTTTCTTTTTCTTATAAGGATGTTAATCCCTTCATGGGGGACTTCAGCCTCATGACCTCATCCAAACCTAATTAATTCCCAAAGGTACCACCTCCTAATACCATCCCATTAGGAATTAGGGTTTCAACATATGCATTTTGAGGGAACATAGACAAGTAGCTCATAACATGATTTTTGTGGCTTTTGAACATCTCCCACTCGTGAATGGGGCTTCAGGAAAGATGACGTGCAAAAAACGATGGTTGAGGCTTTTATCCAGTGGAAATTGTGGGGGTAGTGATGGGGGTCAGCAGCATGAATTCCTACCGGAATAGAGTGTCCTGTTTCAGATACTGTGCATTGACTCCAACATTGTGAAAATACCCTGGCAGTAGTGGCCAGGGACTTCCTAGTCAGGACAGAAAGGTGGCTTTACCTTTATACTTTTGCTAAAACACCTAAGGATAGTTTAATAGGTTGCTCCCTGACTGTCAGAAGCCAAGCCAAGCACCATGTAAAGAAAGGTGTGAGGATCTCGCGGGCACTGTGAGAATCTCGCGGGCACTGAGAGAAGGGCAGCTGCCCACGCCCACGCCCACGCCCACGCCCACGCCCACGCCCACGCCCACGCCCACGCCCACGCCGTGCAGCCCAGCCAGGCCTGCACACGCTTCTTCCACCTGGCTTTCTGCGGGTGGGCAGCGCTGTGCGTGCACCCAGAACCTGTGGGCTGATCAATGAGGAGGGTCCTCGTCCAGAACATTCCTCCTTTGGGGAGGTTTTCTCCAGGACAGGGAACCGGGGAGTTGAGGAGGGCATGGTGGGGAAGGAGAGAGAGCTTACAGAAGAGACCGCAGGCTGCCCAAAGTTCCCACCACTTTGCCATGCGGAAGGGGTTAAGTCATTCTTGAACAGTTTATCACTCATCGATTGCAATTAAATATGTTTATATTAAATTATGTTCTGTAATTAATGTAAAATCCTTTAGCCTATGCTGTTATTAGAACCAGATGCTGAAGCACCAACAATATTTCAACATGACTGTGCTGCCGCGCCAGCTGTCTAGCTGTAATTGCTTTAATCTCAGCTTGTTATCTAATTATCACCTTTGTAAAGGGAAAAGTACTCTCTGATGCTTACTGATTATTTCAGATGATGATGAAGAGCAGGGAACAGCTGTCAGAGATCCTGGGCCCTGCTTATCACAATGAAGGAACTTATCCTGAGGCCTGTTCAGGCCCAAACTGCTGAAAAGAGATGTCCCAGGCGGGGAAAGGGACAGTAAGGGGAGGTGGTTGGTGTGGTAGTTAAGGGTGCGGCCCCTGTGAATAAACTGTCAGGTGACACCTACCTCTTACAGTGATGGCTGGGGACAGGTTACTTGGTGCAGGTAAGACTCAGCAGCCACATCTGTGACAGGAAGACAGCGATAAAAGCAGCATCTATCTCAGAGGGTTGTGACGACTGAATGAAATCGTGTGTGAAGCCGTACTTGACGAAATATTCACAGTGAGTAAGAGTTAACTATTCTTGTCCCTTAAAAAAAAAAAAAAAATCAGTGTTGGTTTTCTACATTCCCATGATCAGTTCATTTTCCAAATTACATTTAAGGTCTGTCTTTTGGGGCTTGAAATTTACCTTTGCATTGCTTCTTCAAAAATGGTTTACCAAACCAATGATTTATAATCAGGGAAATCTTGAAGCTCTTAAGGGGGAGAAACTGTTTTGGGGATATTTTTCAGTACTTTATGCATGTATTTGCACATCAGCAGCTTATGTGGTACCTGCAGTTTATTCCACAATAACCATTAAAGCCAGTTCCCTTAGGCTGTTTATCAGACGTTGAATATCCTCCTCTGCTTC